GCAGTGTGGGCCTGAGAGTCATCCTCCCTGTGCAGTGGCGGAATGGCGGGCTGACAAAAATTCCCTTGGACAGCTTTGGCGAGAGACCAGAAGGCTCGAGTCCCTGAAGGGAGCTGGGCCAATCTCTCGCCAAATCTGGCAATGTGCTCTGACTTTGCCTTAGTGATTTCCCGTTTGAAGAACCTGGAGGCTGAGTTATATGCTGTTTTAAGTTCGCTGGTATTGGCATCATGAGATTTCGCCGCTTCCGCCCATGCCTTAAAGCATTCTCGCTTTCGACGCGAGGCCGCCTTGCAAGAACGTTTAAACCAGGGCTGAGACTTGCCACCGATCGGCACCGCAGAAAATGGAATAAAGAGTTCCATGCCCTGCAGAACCACTTCGGCGACAGAGGCGGCGACGGAATCTGGAGCTTCCGGCGAAAAGCACATAGGCCCCCAAGGGTAGGACGCAAAGAAAGACCGCATCCCGTCCCAATCTGCTGACTTATAGTGCCAAATACGGCGACAACCCATAAAGCGGGGCCGTGAAGGGCGCGTAGATGGCACAGTACTCCGGACCACACAATGATCCGATGAACCCAATGGCGGATCAACAGAGACTTGATAGTTCTCCGGATGTGAAGTCAGCAGAAGGTCCAACAAAGAGGGTTTATGACCATCCACATCTGGTATTCGCGTAATCGCAGGGACCATTTGTGTCAGGTCGTAGGCTAAAGCAAAGTCGTGAAAGGATCTTCCCGCGTGATCGGTGGTTTCAGAGCCGAGCCAATTGGCATGGTGGGCGTTAAAATCGCCAAGTATCACGATTTCAGCGGTAGGAACCCTTTCGAGCAGGGAATCTGTAGCCATTTGGATGTGCTCAATGAGTCGGTCAGTTTCGGTATTTCCGCTATGGGACCTATACAGGCATGCGTAGAATCGCGGATGGTCATCGCAGTCAACGCGCAGCCAGAGGTTAGATAGGTCCCTTCCTTCAAGCGTCCCGAGGCGACGAGAACAGATATCCTCTCTGACGTACACGCAAACTCCCGCCCGCGGCACAAATGAATGTTCCAATTTGTACCCCGGGTAGGAGAGGTAGGAAGTATCAGCCGGGGAGGAAATCTGAGTCTCAGTAAGAAAGAGCAAGGCCGGCTTCGCAGTCTCTAAATGGTAGTGGACTGCGTTGATATTGGAATTGAGCCCCCTAACATTTGTGAAGTCCACGGCGAGCGTGGACGGGGGTGCCTTTGTTGAATTGCTCCGTTTGCCCCGAGAACGATAACTGTTTTTGTTGAGCGCAGAATTGCCCCCCCAGAATACGAAGGGCAGCCTGTGCGTCCACCACCGGGTGCTGAGTGTCCCGGTGTTGGACGCTCAGAGGGGGATTCTCCACCGCGTTCGCGTGTGGTACCCCCTGGGGTAGATTCTGTTTGTTCTGCACCTTCATATTTCATATGGGGGGGGATGGGCCCGGGAGTCTCCCTCACCGTACTGTTATACGAGTTCTTGGGTTTAAGTTTTTAAAAAAACTTATTTTTTTTTGAAATGATTAATAAAAATTTAAAACTCGAAAGTTGTTAAAACCGTTCTGGATCCAACTACAAACGGAGAGACTATATCCCACGATGACTACTTTTAGCTTTACGATTACTTCATGTATTACATTAAGGCTTACAATTTAGGGGTTACTCCCCTTTTAACAAAACTTATAGGGTAAATAAGTTTTGATTATTTTGTGTCCTTGTAGGAGCAAAATCTTTATTTCTATTTCTGTATGTTTCAAGTCATGTTCTGTGGGGAGTTTATCTATTACGTTATTTTTCATAAAGTAACATTAAGTATTTTAAAAGTTTAAAAACTTAAAAAAATAATAAGGTTACAATAAATGAAATAATTATTACAAAGTAGAGATTTCCCATTTTGTAATGTGAGGTTTGTTTCATATTATTTAAACTATGTAAAAAGGAATTTGTTAAAAGTTTACTTCCCGAATTTATCCCAAGTCATTTTGAATAATAGGAACACAAAAACATTAAACTTACATAGTTACAACAAGGGTCATGATTACATTAAATTCTGGAATGCTATTAATTGGTGACGTAATATTTAACACAGGTGTCAATGTAGTACCCGCAGTAACGGTCGGGAATGGTAAGTATACCAGTTCCAATTTAATTTCATGCAATAATTTTACACACACTTGTTAGGTTGGTTTGAACATAAACCACAATCGTATCGGCATATCAAACCCAAACTGTACTTTAGGACCGTGATTTTGGACAAAAATTCACTTTCACAACTGGGTTTTGCGTCTATGGAATATATGTCGGGTATGTCACAAATGAACTCTCCGGGTTGTGTAGTTGTACAGAGTTCAAGGTTGTCTATGCTGCAGTAATGAGTCTATCTTTGGTCATTGCAATGTGTTTTACTACTTGGTATAATTAAACTAAATGAATTCGGATGTTTAGAATTATATGGAGTAGGTAGAGCATGTTATGGAACAACATATTTGGTCTTTTTCACTAATGGAACTTGCAATAGAAATATTATTTTATTATTAATATAGTAACAAATTTTTTTACTTTAAAATTATATAAACTGAACTATATCTAATGAAACAGGTAATTCTAGACCGTTAGGCAAATTCTGTATTGTCGGCTAATTCTTGGTATAACTGCTGAGGTTTATCATGGCCGGTGTAGTATGTTTTGACTACTGAATAAAATTGCGTTTGTTATGTCTTCTAACTGGAAGGACAATGTAAGTATTGATGATTCTAAGCTGTCAAAGATTTTATTTATATGTGTCCACATATGCAATTCATTCGTGAGCTCTGAAATATTTTTAAGGTTCAACGAGAGATTATTAATAGCGTTATTTAATATGATTTCATTATTTCTTATCTTGTTCAGGCTTTCATTATAATATGATAAAACGGATGTGGTGACTAAAATATTTTCTCATTAAATGGGATAATTGTTTAATATCATTTTGGACACTTCTATAGCTTGATCATATTTTACCGCATCGTCTTCATCTAAAGTACCAATAATGTGTTTAAGGGCTATGCCAACGCCCCCAAACCAAGAACTACGTTTTATTCTTTGTTTAATAAATGAGAAATTGCTTGGAAACCCCTATCTAAATCATGATAGCGGACAACAAGGTTGAAACATACTATAACAATCTGTATTCAACTGAATGGTTGGGGTTTGATTACAGAAGTGTTCAGTAATTTTAAGGACATGTTTTATGTTTTCTATGTGTGGGTTAAAATGTGAAATATCTATGGGTACTATAATCTTTAAAACGGCACTTTGATTTTCAAAGTACCTAAGTAATCAAAATATATTCCTGCGCTAGCTTGATTGCTTGAGCTAGTCCTTTGCAATTGACCTCCGGTTGAATTCTGCAAATATGCTAAGCTTCACTAAACTTACTCTGTTAAATGTTAAATATTTTTTTATTTTTATTTTATTTTAGAGATGTCTTATGAGTAAGTATTAAAATTTATTACGATTTAATTTTACAGGTTATCTATTTTAGTCGCGGGTTTTACCTGATCAAAGTGATGGGTAATATGCGCCTATTAATAAGTAAGGTGAGTGTATTGTTATTATTTACTTTGATTATTTTATAGGGTCCTTTCCATAATGGAGAGAGAGCTTTGGTAATCTTAAATGATTTTTGAGATACACGTATTCTCCGGCTTTATATTTTATGGTACGGGTATGTAAGTCATAATATACTTTGAAGATCTTTGGATTTCTTTATGAAATCCAGTGCTTTTTCCCTTGAATGTTTAAGGCATTTTGGAGCATTCTGACGTAATCGGGGTAAGTAGCCCCTAGGGATTCATTGAAAATGGAATTTGGGATAAACGGTTTATTACCAAATATTAATTCGTAGGGTGTGAAATGTGTTGTCGATCCCGATGTGTTATATGCACATTCTGTTTACGTACGAGGCCAATTTGATTGTTCCTTATTGATTAGGATTTGAGGTACTCTTTTAGAGTGGAGTGACTCCGTTCAAGGGCACCTTGGGTCTGTGGGTGATAGGGAGAGGCCCACAATTTTTGATTTTAAGAAATTCGCAAGATTTTCTTAAAAAGATCAGATGTAAAGTTTGTGCCCTGATCGGTTAATATTGATTTGGGTATGCCAAAGTGGAAATATAATGGAGTAGACATTCACTTGTCTCTTCGGCAGTAGTACTACGGATAGGGTAAGCACTCGAAAATTTGGTAAGGTCATCTTGAAAAGTTAAAATGAACCTAAGCTTAGCAGGACCCGTTTCCGGGAGAGGGCCGACAATATCCATAATATTCGTTGGCATGGTTCACTTGAAGTACTCGTTATTCGCATGGGAGCACGGTTTAGTTTCCTAAGTGCTTTATTCTCTTGGCAGGACTTGCATTGCTTTACATAAGATTCTATATCACTACGCATCCCTTTCCAATAGTACGATTGTTTAATTCTGTCGTACATTCTCACCGAACCTAAGTGACCAGCGATAGGGATGTCGTGATTATCGAAAAGGATCTTTTTGATTTCAACAGGAGCTGGGTATATGATATTATTATGATATATTTTGATTTTTATTTGAGCGTTATGAAAAAGATAACATAGTATGTTGTAAATTTTAATGAATGAATGTTTTTCAAATGGGTTTTTCATATCTGATATGGCAATTTCGTCTGTATTGCCGAAAAATCACTAATTCATTTCTAATATTCTTTAGAGTTTGGAATATCTCGGGATATGATGCTTCGTCAAAGGATGGACTTTAGTAAATATGAAATAATACATTTTATTATTAAATTCAATCTTTTGAAAAGAGAAAAGTTCTTTTTCGGAATTCTGAGCCTTTTCTAAGATTTCGGGGTCAGTTAAAATATCTAACACATAAGGATTAGATTCGTCTAGATCAATGGAAGTGGGAACTAGGATTACTTTGGAGTTTGTCTTAATTAAACTCTCATTAAATTCTTCAATATTAACATTAAAATTTTTATCTTTTATTAGCTATAGATTTCAGGAACGTAGGATAGTCATCGACGGGTAAATCTGGGTTTGCACTTGTAGAAGGCATCGGATCATCATAGATATTTTGACCAGTTGGTTGTTCTTGAGGCAACTGGGGTGTAACCTCAGGGATTTGAACGGGTGAACCGGTCATTTGATTGGGTAGTGCCGAGGATGTAGAATTAGGTTCTAATTCAGGTAATGGGAGTAAATCATCAACATCTAGGGTGGTTGGATTAAAGTTAGGTGAAAGTAACTCTTCCGGATGGAATGAGGGCGGAGATATTAAAAGATCCATAAGGTCTTTATCTACTGGTTCTCCTCCTCCTTCAGGATTAGGTTCCGGTTGAACTGGATTGACCGGGTATCGAGAAAGGGCATCGGCATTGGAATTAATTTTGCCTTTTTTGTATTTTATGTCATACTCAAACTCTTCCAGTTTGAGTCTCCAACGGATTAGTCTAGATCCCGGATCCTTACAGTTGAAAAGCCACTGAAGAGGCTTGGTCCGTTACAACTGTGAACCGGTTACCATATAAGTAAGGACGAAATGTTTTTAGTGCCGAAATAATATAGCGAGACATTCTTTTTCCGTCACACTGTAATTACATTCGGCCTTATTCATTGTGCGAGATGCGAAGGCTATAGGTCGGTCTTGGCCTATTTGACCTTGAGATAAAATGGCGGATATCGCATAGTTCGAGGCGTCACAGGTAAGGATGAATGGTTGGGAGAAATCAGGATATGCTAGTATAGGAGCGGAAACAAGTTGGTTTTTTAAAGTTTCAAACGACAGTTGTTGAGCATGTTCCCATAAAAAGGGTACATCCTTCTTAAGTAAATTAGTCAAGGGTTTGGCTAATTTGGAAAAGTTTTGTATGAACCGTCTATAGTATGAGACGAGTCCTAGGAATGATTTAATATCTTTAGAGGATTTAGGCGTAGGGAAGTCTGTGACGGCTTTGACTTTGGCTGGATTAGGTTGAACGCCATTTTGACTGATGATATGTCCTAGGTATGTAACTTCTTTTCTAAGGAATTCACATTTTGCAGGTTGTACTTTTAAATGGAAATTACGAATTCTTTGGAATACCGATTTAAGGTTATGGATGTGAGAGGTTAAATCATAGGAGTAGACGACGATATCGTCGAGATAAACAAAACACCTAGAACCTTGGAGGCCTGTAAGACAAGTGTTCATAAGTTTTTGGAAGGTTGAGGGGGCATTTTTTAACCCAAACGCATCCGATTGAATTGAAAAGTGTCCTTGAGGGACTGAAAATGCGGTTTTGGATGCGTCCTCAGGAGAAATACGGATTTGATGGAAACCAGAAGCTAGATCCAGAGTAGTAAAATAGTTACTCTTACCCAATTGGTCGAGTATTTCCGATATTTGCGGAATTGGATAAGTTTCTCCGATTGTGATATCATTTAATTTCCTATAATCTATCACGATACGCCAGCTGCGCTGGCCTTGAGAGTCTAGCTTCTTGGGGACTATCCATATTGGAGAACTCCAGGGAGATGAGGAGTGTTCGATAATTTTGTCATCTATCATTTTACTTATTTGAGTTTCGACTTCTTTTTTATGACACTCAGGGAATCTATAGGATTTAGTGTGTACAGGGACATTACTAGTAGTTTTGATATGATGTTCTAGGGCTGATGTATGGGTTAATTGATCATCTGGAAGGTGAAAAATATCTGAATACTGAGAGCAGAGTTCTATGAGAGCAGATTCTCTTGGTTGAGATGATCAGTTCTTAGAGATTCTATTACCTCTTCTGTTCGATCAAGAGTCCTCTGGTTCATTGTATTTATGGAATAGGACATTTGACATAAAGGTTCTATATTTAAGTTTAAATTTGGTTTGACATGCGCAGAGTTTTCCGAAGTATTAGCTATGGTAAGATTTATTCTATTATTGTCTTTAACCCTAACAATACAATTGGATATAAAAAGGTTATTGGATAGATGCTGATCTGTAATAATTCCTTCTTTAAGTTTAGTTTCTTGGACTGAACATTCGATGACACTTTCAGAACGGGGAGGAATAATATAAAAAGGTTTGGAAAAATGAAGTTTTACGCTTTCATTGCCGATTTTTAATATATCATTGGTATAATCGATCTTGCAGCCGAAATTAGTTAGGAAATCTGTACCTAAAATGCCATCATAGGGTAGGTTAATATTCTTGACAACATGGAATTTAAAAGGAATGGACTTTGTTTTAGATATTTTTAATTTTAATTGGAAATGACCTTCAGTTTGCGTCGGTTCATCTCCAGGGTCTATGCCTTTAATTTTAATTAATTCTTTATTAAGTTTTTGGTTAATATGGATACTGGATTCTTTTAATAAACATATGGCAGAGCCGGAGTCCACCAACAAAGATAACGGGATATCTGAAATTTGTGATTCTACTAGTATATGTGGAAGTAACTTTTTGTCGTATCAATGTTGACTTCATATACCTCTCATTAGGAGGTGGAAGATTTTGAACGGAGAGATTTGAACACATTGTTGGGATTGGTTACCCAGGTAGGGTCGTTAGGACATTGAGAGTTAGAACGACGCGATTGTTGGGGTTGGTTACCCAGGATAGGGTCGTTAGGAATTTGTGGATTAGAACGACGCGATTGTTGGGGTTGGTTACCCAGGATAGGGTCGTTAGGAATTTGTGGATTAGAACGACGCGATTGTTGGGGTTGGTTACCCAGGATAGGGTCGTTAGGAATTTGTGGGTTATAACGACGCGGTTGTTGGGGTTGGTTACCCAGGATAGGGTCGTTAGGACGTTGAGAATTAGAACGACGCGATTGTTGGGGTTGGTTACCCAGGATAGGGTCGTTAGGAATTTGTGGGTTATAACGACGCGGTTGTTGGGGTTGGTTACCCAGGATAGGGTCGTTAGGACGTTGAGAATTAGAAGTGTTGACTTTAAAGGCTCGTCTCGTGCAACACCGAGTCGAGACGTTTATTCGTTTAAAGACTCCGGTTCGATAGGATATTCATCGTCAGGTTCATCGATGTGTTCAACTACGTGGGACACTCGATTGGGATAGGAATAATTGCCATTACCAGGCTTCTGATTGCGGCGATTATTGTTAGCTATACGGAGCTCACAATCCTTAATTTCGTGGCCCGTAGCTTTACAATACTTACAAAATAACGCTGGTTGTTTGGACGATTGGGAATTATTAGGATAATTTGAGGAAAACCTTGGGTAAGACTTATTTGGAGAGTTATAATTAGGTTTTCCACCGGATGAATTTTGGTTATTTTGGGACCTAGAGTTATTATTAGGGTGAGGCTGACTTTGACTTATTGCGTTTAGCGAATTGGCTATTCTGGATCTTTTCTTCAGACATCGCTAAGTTTACTGCGCTATTTAAACTTTTAGGATTTCGAGCTCTAACTAAGTTTGAAAGTCTAGGTAATAGGCCCATGAGGAAGTGATGGAGGGCCAGGTCCTCCGTAGAGGCAATACGACCTGGTATCTCCTTTTGTGGGTAATTACCTAAAGAGATTTCTGTTAACAAATTAAATAAAGACGTTTCGACACGTAATGAAAATTGACTTACCGGTTCGTTTACACCTTGTTTACTTTCCTGTAACTCAGTTAGTAAATGTGTGTAGTGTTTATGTTCACTAAACTGGGTTTTTAAGAATTCTTTCAATTGGGACCAGTCATTAAATTCTTTTATTGCACATGTAGTAGCAGCCTTTCCCTCTAAGGAATTAATAATGTACTTAAAAAGCATTGGTTTTTGAACATCTGACGCCAGGTCCATAGCTAGTGCATTTAATAATAAAAGCGTTAAGATTTTCTCTACTGCATCGTAAGGCTTAATAAATTTAAGAAGGGCATTGATATCCATCTCAGTGTTTTGGATTTAGATCTAGTACTTCTAGAGGATGGAGATGGTTGCCGGGATGATTTAGGTTGACCTTTTGGTTCTACAGATTCGTCCGATTTTCAGGAGAGGTCTCTTCAACCTTGGGTGGTCCTAGCATAATAGATTCAACAACAAGAAAAATAAATCCTTTGTTGGTTAAGATAAAGGATTCTCAGCCGATATAACTACAAATATTTTACTAACGATATACACTTTAAAATATCAAGAAGGGTTTTACAAAATGACCAACGGAACTCTAAAATTAAACAAAACAATGACCAAAGACTTACTGTGTATATACTATTGAGCGCTGATAAGAACACGACGCGACGGCTGGGAACATTCCGATGCGTGATTGTAGCAGTAATTATATCTCTTAATTTGATTCTTTCACAGGTAGATGTTTCTTTTCTCAGGGTATGTTAATGACGTGTCCAGGACAGGTTGAGGACACGTTGTGTCACGTCGAAGGTGAGTGGTTGCAACTCGAAGATAGGCAGGATGTTGATCTTCTATTTATAGAGCACAGATCCTCTCTGGGACCACCACAGTGTATTACGGGGTATGATTTATTTCACAGGACTTATTTGCACTGAATATTATTTCACTATTCACAAGATTCACTGGATTCGTAGTATGGTAACGGACTACGATTTGGATTACGCGAGATCCGGCGCGAGTCTGCGGAACGGCACTTGGAATATCCGGATCCCACCGCTGCCACCAAAATGTTATACGAGTTCTTGGGTTTAAGTTTTTAAAAAAACTTATTTTTATTAGCTATATTTATTTGAAATGATTAATACAAAGATTTAAAACTCGTAATTAAGATTGATTAAAATAACCGTTCTGGATAAGATCTCAAAGCAGACTGACTGCTACCAAACGGATGGAGACTATATCCCATACTTTATGATGACATGACTGTTTTAGCTTTACGATGACATGACTGTCTTTAATATTGTATTAGCATTAAGGCTTACAATTTAGGGGTATAACAGTACGAAACGCGAGTACAATAAGGCGAACCTATTGCCTCACTTCACGCCGGTTTTCTAAGAGACAGTGGTACTGCCCCGGTCGTGCCTGCCCATTTGGCTGAAGCCCGAAGGCAACAGCATGGCACTCCCACTAGGAAGGGGTTGACTGATTGCGCTGATGAAATAACCTCTGTCACAGGTTATTTCACCAGTGGGCGATGGGGTCGTCACGTCCCGACGCCAAAGAATTGACGGCTTGACTATATGAGTTTATGTATTTGTGTTTCTCACGATTGTTAGTGTAAACTTCAGTCGAAAATTTTAATTCGTACCTAAAGAAATAAATATATACTTATAGAAGAACCTCCTCATACTCTCTCCTCTTCAGTCTGTAGCTTGTGTCTGAGCGTCTTGGTCAGCAGGGAAACATCTGGAGCAGATAATGTTTCCACCGGTTTCTGTCCAGCACCTCTCTTATTGAGAGGACTTATCGTTTTGAGGACGATGAGTAGATTTTTGGACGAGCCATCTGGTTGGTAAACGGCGACGTGATCTTTTGCCTTCTGTGTTACCACGATTAGTTTATCCAAACTCTCGTCGCGTCTGCGCATTGTATGACCGAAAAATTTCGCTGTCGGCATATGTTAGACAGGCGAGTCTGTATGCGGAGTTGTATCAAGATCGATGTATTGGTGTGGTTCGCAGTCCATACGGTATTTTTAATATTCGCCCCCAGCACCAAATCTCAAAGGCATCAACCCTTTGCCTTCTCTCATACCTAAGCTGTACATAATAATTTAAAAAAAGAACACTAAAATGAATTTAAAAAGTTTGGTCCCTGTGGCAAATGCAGCATTTCCTCGCTGTATTGCCATACGTACTCGTATGAAAACAGCAGCACTGGATTTTACGTAACTCGACATTAAGTATATAATGTAAAAAAAATACGCTTTTAAATCCGTTGAAGATGTTTTTAATGTGTGTCTCGGGTAAACTACAGTTATATGTTTATGTAACATCAAACAATAATTAATTTGTGCTTATACTAATTATTATTATAACATTATTAAGAGGTCCTTTCAAAGTTGACATCCGATGCCATATAATATAATGATTGTTTGGATGTGAGTCAATCAATGTGAACGTCTAGTTAAAATAATTAAACGAAAATTCAACACAGTGAGTAAAACCAGATCGCCGTGTAGCTAGTAGCTCCTAGTAACACGGAACGTATTTTGAAACTTTTATGGCCCTTCAAACAACTTTTATATGAAATTATTGGATTTTTATTCTAAATGCATTATTAAATCTACAATCTTTTGCTTGTCCTCATCTAGCTTTTAACAGAAATATATAAAAGTAATTTAATAAGATATTTGTAGGTAAGTCCTGAAATAAAAGAATGTAAACGCAAATCTTGTAAGGTGAAGTATTTATTTTTAACATTAAAAAATGTTTATTTAAAAAAGTAAGTACGATACAAAAACATAATTTAAAATAATAAAGGCATGTAGATCAACAGACGAAGTAATATATAACTTCGTTTTTAAAGAACTAATTGCTAAATAGTTTATTATTTATTATTATAATATTATATCATTTATTATTATCGTTACCAAAAATATATTCAATCAATCAATTACTTATTAATTAATACGTTTTAACATTCTTTTGCTTTTTATCGTTTAGATTCAATTGTTTCCATATTAATTGCCTATGTTGATTTTATTAATATTATTATATTATACGCCCTCGATAATATTTCGCGAGGTGCTTGTACTGAAAGGTGGTTGTTCCTATATCAATTGTTCCCAATGACTGTAAATTGTGTGCCTTTCCGTCAATTGTGTTAAAACAAGGTTACGTCGAGGTAAGTATTCCGGGCTTAATATTTATAGTTAATATAAATTGTATCAACACTACCTGAACTGTTCTTTGTGGTGTGTATTATAAGTTTTATAATTTGAGGTAATGCAAACGAAAACACCAAAATTTATTCAGCAAAAGTAAGTAACAATGAAGTATTAAACTGAACATAATAATGTTGACAGAATCTCTAAGTCCAGTAACAAATATGAAAAAAAAAACACATATATTTCCTCATTAAATATTAGTATAGATGTATACTATTATGGTACCACTACACTACAGTTTAAAGAGTACGGCTTACACTACTTCAAAGAAATAGTAATTGAGTTTATTAGTTCTTAAAGTAATAGGACTCTTACAAAGGCAATACCACAAAAGATTTTTCGAATCGAGATTATTAATAACGAGTTAATCGAAAAACGTCAAAAACGAACGGGCATTAATTTAACACACCATTAAGCTAACCGAGCGATATTCCATTAGATATTGTTAGTGGAGTAATTGCTTGATTACTACGAAAAATTAACTTTGATTTCGCTCAAGTGTAACAGCCACGGTTTAGATAAAATATCATGTTTTGGTAGTGGTGGGAATCCTTTGGTGTATAATTCATTATAGTTGTACGTAATAATTAATCCGTGGCTATCTAATCCAGCTAAAACTTATTTGGTAAATTTTTAAGTGATGCCGGTTTTTTACGATGATGCTTTAACCGTCAAAAAAAGGCGCAAGTAATATTAGCACACAGATGAAAAAAATCTATTGGTATACAGCCGTGACTGAAGCTCCAACACTTATCATTATTGTTGAAGACAGCAAAAATATTTTGATAAAATACATGAACGCGCGTGAAATCGCGAACGGAAGCAAGTTGATAATGATAATGTTGGAACGACAAGTATGTTATTACAGTGATATCATTTAACTACTCACGATTTTAAATTCTCATTTATAAATACAAGCTCTTAATACCTACTTAATATATTCAAACAAACGAAGCAATACTAATTAATGTATATATAATTATAGTATGTTTGTAACGTAGATTTTTAAAAAAACAAAACGAAAAATTTGCAGACCTTTTCCTGTTTTTAAATGTAAATGCTGATTTTACTCAAACGACATTAATAACACTTTCTCGTCAATTAAATTTAAAAAATCAGCGGCTTCCGTAGAAAAGCTTCAAAAAATATAAACCGTCAGTCGCACAAGTGAATGTAATTAATATAGGAGACATTTGCATCCATTAATTCAGTTTTTGTCCCGTCATATTTTATGTGGATCTTACTTGACGTTGCAAAAACCCCTCGGATCCGCTGGAAACCGATTCTATTCATCTTCATATGACGTGGCGACTTAAAATTATATTTGTACTGCTTTCATTCGTATTATGCTCTTCTCTGAAAAACAGGTCGTTGTTTTAATTTTATGTAGAGACATAGACATTACATTTATTACTAACGAAACACACACACAGAAAGACAAAAAATAATAAGAATTATAATTACAAAAAGAAAAATAACAAAAAATTATGGAGGAATAAGGTACATTTCATGTGTGTGTTGTGTTTGTATCTGGCCCTGGCTCAGCATTATGCTGTGGAGCAGACGTGTTCCACAGCGATGGTCAGTCTGCCAGAGACCACAACGGCTACTTTGCACATTTCAGCTACATACATCATTTCAATTTTTTTTATCTACCGTGTGTTATCAATATTTATATTAATACGCACCCCCTTTTAAGCTTTTCATAACATGACAGCGCCCAATAGGGTAATACCGCGTGTAGCGCCACAGAATGGCCTCTTAATAACATTATTATTTAAAAAAATACAAGGTTGCTCGAACAGACGCTAGTACCCACAAAAGGGACAACCTGTGTTGAGGGTGAAAATTAAAAATGTGTAACAAAATGTAACAAAAATTTCGAAGACTGGTGTTTCCAGAGTCCATATATATAAGCATGTTAGGGTTGGATAATAGTAGCATACAATTTAAAAGACCTGTTTTATTACAAAAAATTACAATTTATGGTTACAGAAATGATCCCAAAGGTCGTCACAAGAAAAGGAATAATAAATGAATACATCGCGCTTATGCATTTAAACTTCGAAGAACCCATAAATACATCAAA